ATCTTATGGGAATTGTATGTTTGCACCATAATACTGAGTTTAAAGCTTCAGAATTTATTTTTTTGGATAGTCTGAAGCATTGTACCTTGTACTTGGACTTGAGCCATCTTACTGGTACAGTGGTATTTGGTACACGAAATTCAGGCCCCATACTTTTTGGTATAAAGAGATAGCAGGGTGCTTTACTTCTTCCACAGGATTTCCAGAGCATGCTTGCTGACTGGAAGTAAGGTAAAGGTAATACACCTGATGTTGCAACATCACTGCCTTCAGCATCTTTGAGCGGTCGTCATGTCCCCGCGCCTCCACTCCTCGTTTCGACCGCTGCGGTGACGGTTTCTCACCAGTCAGTAGGGTCGTGTGGGAGGAGGAAGCAGAGTTGGGCCGCACGCGCGACGTATGTTACGGTGAGGGTGAGGGTGAGGCCAGCCCATGTCGACGAACGAGGATGCGTCCGTGGCCCATAAAGGTGTCCAGTTTGATCGCTTAGGCCGGCCTTTCGTATTCATGATTAGGCGACTAGTAAATATAAGCTTTTCTTGCGTGGTCCGGACAACTTGCGGCCTACAGTAGAGATTTTGTATATCATGCGTTTCAATTTGTCTAGCAATTGACCTCTATATTGTGCTTACATACATGCTGCTCTAGCTTGTATAGGTACATGAAGTTTAAAGATTTTAACAATAATCATGTTATGTGTTCTAATAGATTTTGGGCCTGTTTGGTTGCATTATGGTTGCTATCCTGTCATCCGCTCAATCATATATGCTCGGAGAGAAGCATGTTTGCATATGTTGTTTTCACTGTTCCAGCTCGACTCCACTCGTTCAAGGGCGCATAATGGTTGGCTGCTTCATAGTATAAATATCATTAGATTAATTATAAAATATATTCATAATAAATTTATTTAGATACATGAATGTTGATGCTATTTTTATATAAATTTAAGTTAAACTTAAAAATTGAGATGGATGCAGTATAAGATCAGTAAGACTTCAAAGCTGAATGTGAACTAAGAGTGTTTGGTTGATTACGTCCATGTTCCAAAAGCCTAACGTTGCAAATCAGAGTAATTGATAAAGACGCTGCCTCTCGATTGTTCGGCTTAATTGGATCGCTCGAGAGTGCCCATATGTCCATCTTGTCTCCCTTCATTATCCTCTGGTAAGCGAGGAGATGGGATCTCTTAGTTGATCGCTTCTGTTTGCGTGGCGATTGAAATTTTGGAGAGGACTCATCGATCAATCGTGCTGCAGGAACCGATCGAGTATACTAGTAGTAGGCGGCACTTTACAGGTACCGGTAGTCCGTAGTCGGTGGATGTCTGTCTCCGTCACCAGGCTGCCGCCGTCGCCCGATTGATCCACGTGGGATCATGTGCCATGTGGCAGGAACCACGTGTCATCATCTCAGTAGTGGGTGCGACGATAAGTTTGCTTGATTCAGAACATGCGGTTGCACCCTAGAACATATACAGCACATTCAGTGAAACTTTGAAAGTCTTAAAAGATTTTACACAGGACCATGCATTGCAGCGAGCTTGGGGTAAGTTCAGAAACCCCAGTTTTCCGTTACAAGCCACTGTCATGTACAGTAACACCGTAAAAACGTGGAGCACATCTTCTGTCTGTAACAAAGAGAGGAGGTCCATTAGATTTATTTGACAGTTTGCTTAAAGTCAAAAGCCTTTTTAATAACCTAGATTGACGAATGTAGCCAACCTCTTTCATGTGCACACAATCGCAAGGCATGCATGCGACTAATGATGAAGCTATAGAAATATGATTTTTATTTTTTTAGAGAGACCAACAGTATAATTTTGTCTTAAAATTTAGTCAAATTCAACAAATTTCTTCTTCTTCTTATTAAGCCAGAAAGGCTCGGCCGCCGTTATAAATGTCCATGCAGCCCGAGGCACGGCGGCCCGACACGAAGCACGCAATTTTGGCCCAGACCAAGCACGGCACGGCCTGATGGTCAGCGGGCTCGGGCTGGCCCGGCCCGAGGGAGCAAGCCGTGCCTGGGTCGCTGCTCAGGCCCGTGGGCTAGCACGGCATGGCCCGACCTTCGACGGTCGGCCTGGCCTTCCACTTCCCCCTCCCCCTCCTCACTCCTCCTCCCCTCCCCAAGGCCGACCTGCTCCCTTAGCCGACCCGCCCCGACCCACCCCCTGATCCCTAACTCCCTTCCCATCCCCCCTCCGCAGGCTCCCGTAGGTGCAACGCCGCAGCTCCCTCCGCATCCCACCTGCAAGCGCAACGCCGCAGCCTCTCCCCCTCCGCATCCCTCCCGGCTCCCAGCGCGCGCGAGACCTCTCTCCCTCCTCGGCATCACTCGCATGAATGCCAGAATCAGCTTCTCCCTCTGCATCCCTCGCGCACGGTCCTGGATCTGGGCCCCGGACGCGCTACCGGTGCCGCGCGGGACACCCCTCCCTCCCCTCGGCCCTCGCGCCCGGACGCCAATGCCGCGCCCACCACGGGCGCTTCCCGCCGCCTCCGCTCAGGCGCCCGCGACGCGGGGTTCCATGGCGCGTTGTTGAGGCGGAGATCTGGAGCACCGCGCTCCTAACTCCCTTTCCCTCCGACCTCTGCGCCACGGACGCTGACGCCCCCTCCGTCTCCTCGCCGGTGTCAAGGGCCCCAAGGGCAAGGTCGCCCGCGGCCACTGCATCTCCGGCTGCTCGCGCTTCCTCCCCTTTCCCCTCTCTCTGGCTGCTCGCGCTTCATCGTGGGCCCGGGCTGGCCCAACACGCTGGACTGGCATGCTTCTCGGGCCGGCCCGGCTCGATAAACGGCCCAGCAGGCCATGCCTGGGCCGTAGGTCAGGCACGGTGCCCGCCTCGACACGGCCCGATAGGCACGACGTGCCGTGCTGGGCCGGGCCGGCTCGTTGGACTTCTATAGCCGCCGTTCACAACATCCGCGTTAGCAAAATATTTTTACACCGTCTGATCCTCTTTTTACGGTTCTCCTTACCATAGATGGTCCACGTGTCATATCCTAACTGTTTTTTGAGGAGAAAAATATCTCGTCCTCCAAACCTCTCCACCGCTGCCTCTGCCCCCCTCTAACCTCCGCCTCGGCTTCTCCTTCGCGCGGCCCTCCGCCTCTCCCCCGCGTGCCCCCTCCGCATCGCCCTCTCCGTCGCCCCCTCCCTCCCTCCCTCGATCTCCACTCTCCCAGTGCTCGTGAATGACTCCTCCACTTCTCCCTCCCGTCGTCGACACCACTTCCCTCTCTCTCCTTTCTTCTCCTAGGGCACGGCAGCGGCGGCGGCTCCCTCGGCGCCCACTGCCGCCTGCCTCCCATCCTCCTCCCCCTCGCTGCCCTCGTCGAGCTGGGAGACGGCGGTGGTGGACGTTCCCTGCACGAGCCCAGATCCGGGCCACTGTCCAATCGCCCGGTCAAGGGTTTCCTCCGCCCTTGTCGCCCAGCACCAGGTGTTGGGAGTTGCAGCGCTCACCGCTGCCTCTTCCTCGCCTAGCCTCTTCATGATGATAGCTCCGCGACCGGACCAGTGGTTCCACGACCGACCAGCGACTCCACGAACCTAAACAAGTTGGATCTCCCGTGCTGTTGCCCATTCTTAAGTCTCTTGCCCCATCACCTCTTGCCTTCACGACCTCCTCCTACTTTCTTGCTTGCAGGTCTACACACATCAACAGTCGGGGGAAGAGGACCAGCGGATCTCCTGCACTGGCTCCGTTCTAGTTTTGCTGGTACTTGCATCTTCATTTTTCAATTGATATATTGATAATTTGGCTCTTAAACAGCCATGATGGTTACAAAGTTTGTTTTCAATTGTCGCCTAAAGCGTTACATTGCGTTAGCCAAGATTGAGCACCATTCTGTAGCAACCGCCCTGTCGTCCCGCGGCAGTCGGCTACCCCATAGATAAGCTTCGCTTTTACACGCCGCCAATGTCGCCATTAGCGAAGTCCTTTCGGATCCAAAGACTTTGGCATTCCTTCTCTTCCAGATGTGCCAACAGCATAGGAGAAGGAAGGTACTGAAGTATTTGCTTGGTATGTGTTCAGGTGGTGATATCTCCTTGAGTGCCTGCACCAGCCAGTCTTGCTGTGTTGGAACCTGCACCGCATTCCAAAACTGCTGTACGCTTGGGCAGCCAAATAGGATATGAGCAGATGTCTCTTCCGGTGCCTACCAGGTTTCACAGATGGTGTTGTCCACAATGTTCTTCTTCATCAGTGTTGTTTTGCATTGGATTCTTTCCTGGGACAGCAGCCATGCGAAAAACTTAACCCACGACGGCGCCTTGTTTTGCCAGATGAACTTTGCCCAAGCGTCCGGGGTGGAGTGCTCATTCTTCAAAGCTGTGTACATCATACCAGCGTTCAGTTCCCCATTGGCCTTCATCATTGGGCTGCTTCTCTGATCTCTACCATCTATCAGATTATGCTGCGCCATGATCTGTGATACTTGGTGCAGCTGCGTTGTTGCCTCTGCTGATTGCCGTCTAGTTAGTGATTGCTGCAGTTGGCCGGCATAAGCTTGGTGGACCGTGATTTCCTTACTTGTGCAGTGAGAGAACATCTCTGGAAATCTATCAGCAAGGCTATCATTCCCATCCCAAACGTCAAACTAGAAGGACGTTGTAGTTCCATCCACAATCTTGACTGTTGTGATTGCACGGTACAGAGGCAGCAGTGCACGCATGGTGTCCCAATGGTTTCCATGTAGATTTCCAGTGAGGGAGGCAAAACAAGCATTTTGCCGAATCCATCTTGCCCACGATGATGCATTATTGGAGTGCAGCCTGTGAATCATCTTCACTAGCAAGCAGGTGTTTTGTAGTCCGAGATCCTTGAGTCCCAGACCGCTCATATCCTTTGTATCACATACGTGAGTCCATGCATGCCACCATGCTGCTGCCGCTTGTAGAGGCGCCGTTGCTGGACCAGAGGAAGGATCTTCTCCTGCGGTCTACTTGATCAATGACACCCGGGGCAATTTCTAGTGCAGCCATTCAACTGACTATCAAGCACGGAGTTGACCAATGTTGCACGGCCCAATTTTGTTGAGCAGAGATGACTGCCAGCCTGTGAGGTATCTGTCACCCTTAGCAATGTTTGGAGCAAAGGCAGATAGCTGCAGCTTGCCATTTGTGAGCGGCAGACCAAGGTATGTCTGAGAGAACCCCTCTCTTCTATAGCCCAGTGCCGAGATGCAGTCCCTGACCGTGTCCCCATTCATGTGGATCGGCACCGCAGTGCTCTTGGTGTAGTTTATTTGTAGCCCAGTGGCATCGGCGAACTGATCTAGTATGATTCTCAGATTCTGAACATCAGCAAGTTCTCTTACTATAATCATTGTGTAAATCTGCGTACTGCAGCACAGGGCAACTTGAGTCATCCACTATTGAGTGTCTTATAAGTCCGGAGTGCCTGATCAGAACCTGAAGAACATCGGCCACCAAGATGAAGAGATATGGTGACATTGGATCCCCTTGTCGCAATCCTCACCTGCAGTCCATCCATGGTCCGGGACATCCATTTACAAGAACATCTGTGCGGGAGGATTGCATGGATTGCATCCACCTTCGCCAGACACTGTTGAATCCTCTTGCTTGTAAGACCATGTCCAGCGCGTCCCAGTTCACTATGTCAAAGGCCTTGGCAAAGTCAAGTTTGATGATAAAAGACGGCACTTTTCTCTTGCGACAGCATTGCACAAGTTCCATGGCGTATACAAAGTTCTCAGTGATGGACCTTCCTCTAATGAACCCTGTCTGATCCAGGTCAGCAAGTTTGTTGATTTGTAACTAAGTCTTGTTGTTAGTATCTTGGTGAGAATTTTGACACTACAATTTTGCAGACAAATTGGTCTGAAGGCATCTACCGTGTTTGCATCTGGCTTCTTAGGGATCAACACCATGTATGATCTATTAATTCTCTGTAACTGAACACTCTCGTCATGAAATGCTGATAGGAACTGCATAACATCTGGTTTTATAGTTTGCCATGTGGCCTTGTAGAATCCGGGGCCGAAGCCATCAGGACCCGGAGCACTAGCCTGGTTCATGGATTTTACTGCAGCCCTTGCCTCATCTTCAGTAAATGGCACTGTCAGCATGTCTGTTGCCTTTGTTAATTCTTGATACAGCTGATTACAGTCAAACTGCCAGTTGCTCTGTCCCGCTGTACCCATGACGGATCTAAAATGTTCAGTGAGCGCTTGCACCTTGGCTGAGTGACTGGTGACTTGTACCTCATTGACAGCAATGCATCTAATGTTGTTTCTTCGCATTCGTGCCATTGCATGTGCATGGAAGAAGGCCGTGTTGCTGTCCCCTTCCTTGACTGCTCTGAATTTTGCCCGTTGCTTCCAGTATGCCGCCACTGGCGAAGCTCGAGAGCCAATCTGTCATAGCACTGCTGTGCACAGAAAGACAGCGATCTTCCTCCAAAGTGTCAAAAAGTAAGATGATGAATTTACAGTTTTGGATGATAGCTAGAGGCGCCCTGTTACGCCTAGCCCATACCTTTGCCGCCGCTCTGGTTGACTTCAACCGAGCAGCGAGGTTACCTACAGCATCGATGCACCTAGGACCTTGGAGCCATGCCGAGAGTACAGATGGGACGAAGTTGGCGTTCAGTAAACCAGGCATTTTCGAGTCTGAAGATATTGGACTTGGGGATGGTGGTGGAAAGGGTGGCCATGATCGGGACATGGTCAGATGTCGGTATTGTGAGTCCAAGCAGATTAGAGGACGGAAAGAGCTGTCCGAGCTGCACATTGTGGAAGACCAGATCAAGGCGCGCAAGAGTTGGGACCTCACGTTTGTTGGATCAAGTATAGTGACAGCCAGTAAGTGGTAGCTCCAGGAGTCCCATGGCACAGATAGTGTCATTAAACGCAGTGATAAGAGAGTTGTTATTGATGGCTGTATTTTTGTCTGAGCGAGAGCGAACTAAGTTGAAGTCCCCAGCGAGGAGCCATGGACCAGTGAAAGTCGGAGCAAGTTCAAGGAGCTGTGCCAGGAAAGTGTAGGAGTGTCTGTGATCTGAGGGAGCGTACACATTTGTAACCGAGAACTGGTGCTTAGACAGAGAGGAGAGTGTTGTGGTGAGGCAGTAGGAGTTGGGGATCGAGCTTGTGGATAGAGAGAAGAGGTTGGAGTCCCAGGCTGTTAACATGCCACCACGAGCACCAACAACGCTAGAGGTAACAAATGAAGAAGTCAAATTTGGGGGGAGGAAGGTTGCCGCTTTGAACCAATCACAATCGGCAAGCTTTGTTTCTTGAAGGCAAACGATGGAAGGGTTAGCTTGTCTAAGCGCATCGCGTATGATCCGTGCATTTATCCGGGTCGCCAAGTCCACGTATGTTCCATGACAGCACAAAAAAGTTTTTTTGACCCAAACGACATTACAAATTTAAACACACCAAGACTCCACGCAAACCATGAGCGCAGTGGAGTTCGAACCATAACTAACAAACACAAAGATCTTGTTAAAACGTGAATGTAAATGAATAAGATTTGGGAGAACTATTGCTTTCATTGATCTTGGAAATATATTTATATAAGTGGAGGGGTGTCACGAAGGGACATGACTGTTCTCAAAAGACATGCCCTTTGGAACTAAAATTATCTGTTTAATCATATCTACTAATCATGTGCTTGATAGGTGAGATCACTCGTAAAGAGACGCCTGTTCGTATGTAGACGTCCGTTCGCGTATAGGTGTCGTTTCACAACACTCCCCCTTGATCGAATCTTCCTTGAGATCAATGCAGCTGTAAGCTGAAATTCCTTAAAAAATCCTATAAGAAAAATATGAGGAATATATGATATGCCATAAAAACTCGTTTAAACCTTATTAGAAAATAAGAAGAAAATAGCATATTTATTTGTGATTTAAATAAACCACTATGCCATTGGTATCTCATTAAAAACTCTAATAGGAAAAAATATTGGAGATACGACATAAAGATAACTCCCCTAAAAATCTTTCAGGAAAAATATGAGGAGCAATATAAAGTGATATGCCGTTAAAACTCCTGTAAAAACCAAGTGAAAAAATTAGGAGAAAATGTGACGACATATTATTGGTATTGCCTCTTAGATAACTCACATGAAAAACATTTTCAGGGAAAAACCATGGATGAGTTGTGAGGGCAATATGTGTCTTTGATATTTTCCACAAAAACCTCAATGAGGAAAATAGAAAATATGACACATGCTTATGTTAATATTACCTCATTAAAAACTTTAACAAGAAACCTTGTAAGTAAAACTTGTGAAAGAAAAGAGTATAATATGATGCTGGTACAGGTCAACATTTAGGAGATGTCTCTCCCTAATTCTGGCAAATCTCGAAGTCACCGCATACTAATTTCATGTACTAATTTTTTGAAACACAGAAGTTGGTAAAGACTTAGTAAATAGGTCAGCGAGATTATCACATGACTGGATTTGCAAGATGTTTATTTTTCTGTTTTCTTGTTATTCATGGGGATAAAACAGTTTAGGAACAATATGCTCAGTGATATTGCTCTTTATGTAATCTGTTTGCATCTGTGTAACACAAGCGGAATTATCTTCATAGATAATTGTAAGTGATTCAATTGAACCAATACCACATGACTGTTATATGTGGTTAATCATTCTGCGAAGCCATACATATTCACGTGATGTCTCGTATAGAGCAATAATTTCAGAATGATTAGTAGAGGTCGCCGTCAGAGTCTGTTTAGAAGACTTTATGAAATAGCTGTACCTTCATATAAGAATACAAATCTAGTTTGAGATAGGGACCAGATAAGTAACCAACATCCGTGTATCCAATCATATTCGGATCATGATTTCTCTTAAAGAATAAACCAAGATCCTTTGTGCCACTAAGATATCTGAGGATATGCTTCGCTCCCGTCTAATGACGGTGAGTTGGATTTGCACTATGTCTAACTAGTATGTTCACTGCAAATACGATATCAGGCCTGGTGCAATTTGCAAGATACATAAGTGCTCCAATGACACTCAGATATAGAACATTGGTCTCAATATCTTTTCTCTAATATTCTCTGGATATAGGCTGATTGATGCACTAAAATCCCTGAAGGACGGTGCTCAAGTTGTAAGCCTAGACAATATTTGGTCTTACCCAAATCCTCCATCTCGAATCCACATGATGGAAATTGTATCTCAAAAGATTACATAATTATTTTTGTATCATGATGATATCAAAATAACCAATATACGTAATCATGCTTAATTATACACAATGTATGTTACGATTTGTATTTTGGATTCAGAATGTGAAGTCCATTGGGACTTATACATCCAAATCCATCAAATTCATTTGATATGCCAATTATTGAATTTGGAAAACTTTATTTTCACACATACCATGGGGTATGCTATGCTGGGTCTCTACGTGAAACCATATGCTACAAGCTCTCATTGTTCACCACCTTGCTTCTGAAAAGAAACTATGTGAGGGAAGATATTACTGTGGTAATACTTTTCATCGTTGAACAAGAGCAATCTCCTTAATTGTCATCTTTTAGTTTGACCAAATTTGAGTGTGAAGACACTCTGCCTAGGACTTTTGGTCTGGATCCAGTAAGGTAAAAAAACAATCTTTGAGGAGTATATGCCGCGATAATCTGTAGTCTTTAAATGATTGATTCAGTTCTTGAAATCAATATAGCATGTGAAAATGTTAACCCTTTTGGACTCTGAGTCATTTTTCATATGGAGTCAGGGTGTTCCAATGTCCTAGGATCAGAATTTGGGTGCACTGTTGATCCGGATTTTGGATGCTCATCCATTTTAGGTGTCTACCAACTTGAGGTTGGTTTAGATTTACTGATTTGGAGGATATTGTCCTCGGTATCCTCGGACGCTTACTTGGAGCATTATTCTTAGGAGCGGCCGTACTTTTCTCCCTCTTGTTTAGAAGTGGGAGTAGAATGGTTTTAATTGGTACCTCCATTCTTTCGGGCGCATTATAAGTAGGATAAGAGGATTTTGTGACACCCTTATTATCAGTAAATGTTTCTGGCAGATTCTTTGTAATATGATGTAAATATAAGACATTCTAAATGATTAGGTTTAGAATTTTTTGGTATGTGGATGTGAGGATTGCTCTTTTGATTCCTGACATTCTTAATGTGGTATAAACCTCCCCCTAATGGCTGGAATTCTTCTCAAATGTGGTCAATATACGCGCAATTTATAAATCCCCTGTAGAGTAACCTTTTAGGATCTCTAATGCCCATTGATATGTTGGGGTGGTGATATGGGTATGTGAAAACATACTCGATGCGCAGATGGGAAATGTTTGACTACGGCCAAAGTTTCACGTACATACGGCAACGGAGGGAGTTGTATAAGTGTAACTTGATAAATTTGAATTAACGATGCGGTGTGTAAGGCTACATGAAAACAACTTAGTTCTGGTAAATTACAATTCTATTTTAATATGTCATGCAATTTGGTTCTCAATAAGAGACTCAATAAAATCATTATTGGTATGCACATAAGGTACTTGATATATAGTACCTAAAAACCAAACTGTTCCATATATAATGGATTTGATCCCATATCCAGGATAATTTGCTCTAAATTGAAGATTGCGAGCAATGATTTTGGTATAGTGATGGTTCTCATGACTAAGAGACACCTGGGATTATATTATGGATGCATAAATGTGCATTACATAGTATCTTTATGGTCCATAAAATGGTAAATAAAGTCACATGTATGTTCTTGAATTTCTTCGAGAAATGTGTGGCTCATATTGATGCTATGACCAATAGAATTGACAATAATTCTTAAGTTATCTCTATAGTTGAATAATCAAGGCAAATGTGCCAAGTCTTGTTGACATCAAGAGAGAATTATTTGTACGCAATATTAGATACATGTTATGTATATGTCAAATCCAACTGAGGATGTTTTGTTTAAGTGTTGCCATATCTGTTGTTAAGAGAAAAATACTCCTCTTAGTTGTCATCTTGGGGTTTTCATATGAAAATCACATTGATGGATATCTCTATAATTTTAATTGGGTGCATTTTGGAATTAGAATACAAGAATGAATTCATGATTATTATTTAAGTAACAATAGGGGGTATGATAGTAGGACGACCAAAGCCCACTATCATGACATCGCTTCAAGCGATTAACAAAATATTTTCTTGTCTCTATGTAAGAGATTAGGAATATTTTGCTTCCCTATATATAGAGTTTGTGGTGCAACTATCCAGTAGGCAAAATTTCTCTTTGCATTTGGATTGACTCCCGTATAAGTCTATATATAGCATGAAGAATATAATGATATTCTTTGCAGCTATATAGATTACATATAAGTTAATTAATGGAATATCAAATGTGATGGCACATTATTGTGATATTTAATTGAAATTGATGACAACATTTTATATTACAACACTAAAATGGGACGGGACGAGATACTAGGTATGTTTGTAAATGGGAGATAAATTTTGGTCCCTAAAATAGATCAAGCGAAGTAAATTCGATGATCGTGTTCTCCATGCTCATAAGACCCACTTATTAATTAAGTGTTTGGTTGCTACTTGGTTTTTTCATAAAACTTGTTGTGAACAACTGACCTTCCTGGTGGTGTCAGGTTGAAGATAGAAGTGTGCTTCATATCTTTATTGTTGAGCCGGATATTTATGTCCAATGAATTTGTAATACCG